AGAAGGGGATCCAGATCATTATGGAAACTTTATTTTCTTTCAACAAACACAGAAACTTCTTTGATATTTAAAACACTCTAATGAAACTTAATTCTTCACATTTTATACTCTAGAAATTAAGCTGCACAGATATATCCAAACCTTTTGGATGAAATCCTCGTTCAACCAGCCAAATATAACAGAAGGATCATCAGATGTGGCAAGCCTCCCATCATCCTGTAACTCCAAGACCAACTGGTAGAAATCACCAAAGAAAAATTATGCACCAAAGCAGTTTGTGTCCAAACTGATAGAAAAGTAGAACTAAATGATGAAAAGGTAAACACAGAATGACAAGGTTATGAAGTCCCAACATTATCAATTTTTTGAAACACTAACCAGCCGTTTGGCTCATGGATTCTGAGGGTAGTCAATGGGAATAACTATTAATGATATTCACTGATGGTGGTGTTTGGTACTCTACTATGGTAATGAAAGACAAACTCTTCAATCATCATTCCTGAGCACATTGGGCACTTTTGGTGCTGATTATCCATTATCCCAAAAAAAAAAGGCAACAAAAAGATGCACTCCCTTTCCTTCTCTTCCTCTCTCTTATCTTCATCCCTACTCACTCACCTGTCCCTCTTTCTATCCCTATCTCCTGTGTAATATTCGTTCGATTTTCTCTACCCATGCTTCTCTGCCTCATCATTGATTACCCAATTCCCATTGTTTTTACCTCTTAGCCCACCCTCTTTCCTAATCCTATCTTCAACGGGAAACAATGCAAGCCAAGCTAAGGAGATATAGTTAAGGTATGTTTTTCTAATGGTGATGGAGGTAATTGATTTTAAAACATTTAATTGACAGTAGAAAGAGTAATCTTGCTATTCATGGTGGATCAAATTATGGGTAGTAGTTGGTGATGGTGGTGGTGGTTTTTCCAGCTTATGAAAATTTTGACAAATAGTTTGCTTTCACTGAAATTGGTAGGGATGATTTGAAGATGGGAAATATTCCAAGTTTGGCAAGAATAGATTATTGATGTTGGTGGCTGTTGTTGTTAGCAACGGCTGACTGGAGGCTGTGCAGCTGTAGAATTTCGTTAAGAAGAAAGAACAAAATTTGGTGAAGAAAAACACAGAAATTAATTTTACATATTAAAAAATAATAAGAAAATTCAATAGATTCCCATTGCACCACTACCAAACACGTGAAAAGGGATGACCAAAGCCCATTATAATTGAGGGCTTCTGGAGCACCAACCAAATGGGTGGTAGGAAAATTTAGATGCATGGCGAAACAATGGGTGTGTCAAAACTACTTAGGGCTGCGACAAGATACTAATGCAAATCCAAATGTAAGCAAGCAATTAAGCAATTTCAATCATACACCTCATGCGCCAACAACATATCCCATCAAATTCCAGAATCCAGGTTGCTGATTAAGCAACACTCTGATATAGAAGGTACACAAATAATTTTCTAGGTGGTTTATGATACAATGTATGCCAATAAGAAGATTGGTCGGAAATGATCATGACTGAATGGGCAAAGCATAAGGATTCTTGTTTGTCAAATGACAAGTCATATTATAAAAAGCCTGGTGAAAAGAAGAATATCAAGTTTCACCTGTTGCTGGTTCGGAACTTGTCCCTTACTATCCGTATCAATAACGTACTCGCTACAATTTTCATCCTTCCAGACCAAAGCTAATGGTGTATTTCCTGTCTCATAATGGGCATGCCTACAAAGGACCAAACAAGCAACATACAGAACAATGCATCTTGGTGAAAAATTAACTGAAAAATGCTTAAGCAAAAGACGAGCTGCATCCTTCTGACAGAAAAGTACAAGAGGGAAGTCCATAGCAATCAGAAGAAAAGCACACAAGATTCCAGATAATGAAACACCTATGTGCTAATGAAAACTACGGATGGTTCAAACAGATAATTGAAACATCCCCAATAAACACCAATCAGAATGAGGTTTGAAGCAACTGAAGTTCATCTGGTTGCTATCAATCCAAAAATAAAAGAAAGTAATTGGCTTTCCAGAGCAATAGCCAAGTCTATCAAGTATCAGCTTCATGATCTGACCAGTAGAGCTAAACATGAATCCAACACCTTAAAAAACTAAGAATCAGAAACAAGAAATACACAGACACGGAAAAGGAAACAAGATGTAGAATAGCTGACTTATTGTAAAATAGCAGTCCATCTTTGATGTAAGGCACTGGTCCAATGTAAGCAGTTTGCAGACCTTCCTGATCACAGTTGTAGACGGGAACAGTAGCAAATCTGTATTTGTGGAAAGTCGAGGGAGTATCACAAACCCCTACCTCAACAAGCTTGCTGTTTAACCAGAAAAATCTAAATTCAGCAGTGCACTCATACAGTGAGAATCCTGCCCAACAAACCATGTCAATAACATAGTATGTTTGGTCTGGCTGCAAAATCACATGAAAATAATTCACCCCATTACATCACTGTTAATACGGAATATCAAATACCCTTAGAGCACGCACAAAATCCCAGACAGTAAATACATGCAGGGAAAGAAAAAGGGAAAAAGAAATCTTGAGTAACGTTCACACGGAGAATGTACCTCATGAAATATACAGTCAAGTATACAGTATGATTGACTGGACCTAGAGACATTATTGATCCTGGCACCGTTGGGCAGCGCAGACGGAAAGCGATGCAAAAGGATGCCATTGCGTAACCTACTAACTGTTGTCCCATTAGACGAAACTACAAAACATCGTTTCCCTGCTGGTCTCGCAAATACATACCTTTTAAAAAAGAAAAAAAAAACCATTTTTGTACGTAAGAAGTTACTAACATTAGCTCAAATTAATATGTAACGCAATCAACAAAAGCGACTAATTCAGTTCATCATGCAAGAACTGTAATCAAACTGGGATTTTGAGAACCATAAAAAAGATTGATCATTTCATTCAGTAATGGGATTCTGCGAATACATACCTCCAAAGATTCAATTAAATCAAATGAATAAAATTTTAAGGAAAAAAAGGTTAGAATTTACTAATATTAGCTCAATCAATAAGTAGGAAGGGCAACAAAAGCATGATTTAAAAGTTAAGAACAAATATAGCATGAACGAATACACGTACGATCAAATTGGAATTCACATTTTTATTCAGTAATCGGGACGTTAAAAAAGCGTCTTGTTAGTAAGTACCATTAAAAAGAACTAACCAATCAGTATTTAGGTTAGGAGGGACATCAATCATCCATTCAGGAAGCATGAGCTGCTTGGCGAACCAGCGACGAGCTTCAGTTCCTCTAAGTTTGGATGCCTGTCGGACATCATAGGTTGTAGCGGGGCCCTGGTGTTCCTCTGCGTCGGGCTCGATTTCGAGTTCGAGTTCGAGTTCAAAATGGGATTGCTCTTGGGAAGGGGGTTTGGGCTCGCTCTGAAAGGAAAGGACGGAGGAGGCTAAACAACGGGCTCTACGCTGAGCGTCGAGGCGGTTCTGTTTCTGCCGCAACAGAGAGAGGTCTCGCCGTCTTTGTTGGTCGGAGATCGCCGGGCGTTTGAATGGGCGCCGGAGATCATGTGGAGCCATTGCTGCTCTGTCGTTTCGCTTACTGATGATCCCTTTCAAATTTGGATTTGATTTGATTACCGGGGCGGGCCGCGGGCTGGCTTGTGTTCTCCAATCTGTGTTTTGTTTTTGTGGTTAAATTACTTTCAAGTCTTTCCTTTTCTAAAGAAAAAAAATTGGGGTGAATTTCTTGTAAGTAATTACCGACAGGGTTTCCTAGCCAGAGTGCTTCTCATATTTGTGTACTTGTGGGAGAAAAATACCCAATATCCAAATATATACTTTTCGGTTTTGTTTGATTTGCTGATTGAGGGTGCTCACCTCGGCCACCCGCGTGTCCGAGGTGAAGTCACCTCGTCCTCTTCAGAGTCCATCCAGGTCTGGGGCATCGTCCCAGACCTCGGCCGAATCCGTAGTCAACCGTGTAGGTGACCTCGGCACCTCCACCTCGGCTGCACGCTGATGAGGTCAACCCATCTGACATCATCCAGGACCAGTACTTTATCTGAAAAGCACTGGGAGCCCTTAATGGCACCTGCACCATGTCCTCCGTCATCACTCCCAGGCGGCTACAGTGTCAGAGTCAGACTCCCTGACAGGAGACAGAGCCGTAATGTCAGAGTGGGTCCACTAACATAAGTCCAGAGCCTCGCCTCTACTCTCCTATAAATACCTCACTCACACTCCCACCAAGTAAGCAGACACTGTTCATTAGCTCATTCTCATTATTCTCGTTCTCATATTAACTTGATCGTCGGAGTGATACCAGGGGAGAAGCCCCGCCACTCACTTCGGACAAGGAGGTTCACTTCGGACACAGGAGTTCACCTCACTTCATCTCAGAGAGGACTGATCCAGGTCGGTCTAGTTACCAACCAAAAATCACCTCCTCAATTAGAGAAGCCCCGCCACTCACTTCGGACACAGGAGTTCACCTCACTTCATCTCAGAGAGGACTGATCCAGGTCGGTCTAGTTACCAACCAAAAATCACCTCCTCAATTGGCGCCGTCTGTGGGAACGAGACTACTATTACTAAAATGAGATCCACGCGCTCCAGAAGTGGTCGAGTTCCCTCAACTGGGGCTGGGCAGACCTCGGGAGCCCAGCAAGATCGCATTTCTGAAGAGCAAGGGTCCTCGAGGAGGCCATCGCCAAGATGGCCGAGTTCGTATCACACAACCCTACCATTTTTGAGGAGCTAGGAAGGTACCTCAAAAGACAAGGGAAAGAAAAGGCCGAGTCCTCCAAGAGGAGGCCGACGAAGTCCCCTGAGGTACCTTCAGGTGAAGACTCAGATGAGGGGCGAGTCTCTCGGAGTACCTCCAGGCGCGCCTCCTCCAAGGCAACGTCTAAACTTGCCTCCATCTCCCGGGCGCTTTCTCGGGGACTGCTGGGAAACGAGCTGAGGACCCACCTCGGCGCTCCGGGGGCCTGGCTTCTGACTACATGAGGGCTCCGCCCTTTACTGATGACATCAATGGGGAGATGGTACCCCCGAACTTCAAGCTTCCAAATTTGCCCACCTATGACGGCCGAGGTGACCCCGAGGATCACCTCCGCGCCTTCATCTCCGCATTCCGACTCTATTGCGTCCCCGACGCCGTGATTTGTCGGGCTTTCCCCATTTTCCTACATGGGACTGCCCGGAAGTGGTTCTGGAGTTTGGAACCGGGGAGCATTTCCTCCCTGGATGAGCTGATAGACCGGTTCATCCACCGCTTCGTGTCGTCTCGACCAATCACGAAGACTTCAGCTTATCTCTTGAACCTTCAACAGGGCCAGGGCGAGTCTCTTCGCTCGTATGCTCAAAGGTTCAACGAGGAGAATGTGCAAATACCTGATCAGAATGAGCAGGTAACTCTCGCGGCCTTTACCAACGGGTTGGTGGCCGGACTCTTCAACACCGAAATCCATCGGGATTACCCCCGTACACTTCACGAACTCTGGGAAAGAGTGGACCAGGGAATCCGAAGTGAAGATGTTAATCGCATGAAGCGAGAAGCCCAAGCCTCTCGTACGGGACAAGATAACCGGAGAAGGAAAGACATCGGCCGAGGTGAACCCGGCCCAAGTGGCACTTCAAACCAACTCCGAGACCGCCGGAGTGTCTTTGATCGAATAGTGAAAGGGAGATCGTCCACCTCGGACGCCGAGCTGACCCCACTCAATTCTAGTCGGTCTCACGTCTTGGGGGTGATGAGGCAAAATCACCTCGGCCGAACACCTCCTGAGATCCCTGGGAGGAGAGATAAGAGGAACTCCAACCTCTACTGCGCCTACCACCGAGACGTTGGGCACGAGACTGAAGATTGCAACGATCTGAAGCGAGAGATCGAAAACCTGATCCGACAAGGATACCTGAAGCAGTTCATCCGCAAAGACGGAAGCTTCAACCGAAATGCCTCTCACCGGGAGAGCCGAGGTCCTCGCCGAGAGGACAGGCGGGACACCAAGCTTAATTGCCGAGGTCCTGAGAACCACAAGGGGGATCAGAGGCCTCCACGTGACGGATCACCAGGCTACGGCCCAAATATAGCCGGGGTGATCAACACCATCTCAGGTGGCCCCACGGGAGGAGACAGCCAGAACTCCCGAAAGCGGATCTACCGCCAAGCCGGCATGGATGTGGCCGAGCCGAGCTCGAGGCTGTCCGAGGTGATAACCTATGGTCCCCGTGACCCTGTCCCCGCCGCCTCCAGCAATCACGAGACCCTAGTGATTGAGGTCCTCACAAATAACTACATAGTCAAAAAGGTCTACGTTGACCCCGAAAGCTCGGTAGACGTCATGTATTACCGAACTTTCGAGAGTTTGAAGTTGACCCGGGAGCAACTCACTCCGGTCAGAACTCCCCTTGTCGGCTTCGGGGACACGTCGTCCACCCGGAGGGTATGGTGAATTTAATGGTGACTATCGGGCGTCATCCCCATTGCCGAACTGTGCCTGTCAGCTTTGCGGTGGTCAAAGCGGAGAGGCACTTCGGCCCCGAACGCAGCAAGGCCATATCGGACGAGGTCGACAAGCTCTTGCCGGCCAAGATGATCCACGAAGTCCAATATCCGACCTGGCTGTCCAACCCAGTCATGGTCAAAAAGGACACCGGCGGATGGAGAATGTGTGTAGACTTCACCGACCTCAACAAGGCCTGTCCCAAAGACTGCTATCCCCTCCCGAGTATAGACACCCTCGTCGACTCGGCGATGGGTACGAGATCCTTTGCTTCCTAGATGCCTTCAAAGGGTATCATCAAATAGGAATGAGTGAAGAGAACCAAGAGAAGACGGCGTTCTACACCGACCAGGGTACTTATTGTTATACTACCATGCCATTCGGGCTAAAAAACGCCGGGGCGACCTACCAAAGGCTGATCAACCGACTCTTCAAGAATCAGATCGGCCGCAATGTGGAGGCCTATGTGGATGACATCCTCGTCAAAAGTCTCGCCACTTCATCCTTCCTGTTAGAATTGAGGGAAGTCTTCGGGGTCCTGCGGGACTCGAGGATGAAGCTGAATCCCAAGAAGTGCGTCTTCGGCGTCACCTCGGGAAAATTCTTGGGGTATCTGGTTTCCCACCGGGGAATCGAGGCCAATCCCGACAAAATCAAGGCCATTCAGGACATGTCCCCACCTCGGAACGTCCGAGAAGTCCAAAGATTGAATGGACGCCTGGCCGCACTGAACCGCTTTTTGTCTCAATCTGCTGAGAAGGCCCTGCCCTTCTTTAAAGTGTTGAAGAAGTCTGACCAATTTGCCTGGACTGAGGAGTGTCAGGTTGCCTTCGACCAGTTGAAGCAATACTTGCATCACCTACCCACTCTCGCTTCACCTCGGCCCGAGGAGAAGCTCTACCTCTACCTCTCCGCAGCCGACGAGACTGTCAGTGCTGTTCTTATCCGGGATGAGGGCACCCAAGTGCCAGTCTACTACGTCACAGCCGAGCTCTCCGGGGCCGGAGACTCGATACACTCAAGTGGAAAAACTAGTGCTGGGGCTAGTCCACGCGGCTCGACGGTTGAAACCCTACTTCTTAGCCCATCCCATCTCGGTCAGGACCGACCAACCCATTCGGCAAATATTGGTTCGACCCGAAGCTTCTGGTCGCCTCACCAAGTGGGCTGTCGAGTTGGGAGAGTATGACTTAACATAGGAGCCTCGCACAGCCATAAAGGCACAAGCCTTAGCCGACTTCCTCGCCGAGCTGACCTTCACGGACGGTCCAGAGTCCGCCTCCGCCGGAGCTGAAGTGTCCACTGCATCTCCATGGACATTGTATGTCGATGGATCCTCTAATGGAGAAGGCTGCGGAGCCGGGCTACTCCTGGAAGGACCTCAAGGAGAGGTGTGCTCCTACGCCCTCCGCTTTGGCTTCCCAGCCACCAATAATGAAGCCGAGTACGAGACCTTAATTGCTGGACTCCAGCTGGCCCGAAGGCTCGGCGCCCACTAAGTCCACGTCCGCAGTGACTCCCAACTTGTTGTGCGCCAAGTTCTTGGTGAATACGAGGCTAAGGATGAGACCATGCAAAGGTACCTCTCCAAGGTTCACCAACTCACCGCATACTTCAAGTCATTCGAAATCCAAAGAATCCCCCGGTCCCAGAATAAGCGAGCCGACGCCTTATCCCGGCTGGCCTCCACTTCATTCTCTACTCAACAAGACGGTCTTAGTGGAAGTTCTGAATGAACCCGGATATGTGGAAGAGGTGGCCTGCCCCGTGCACTCCGAAGATACCTGGATGACCCCGTTCATCCTTTTCTTGGGTCAGGAACACTCCCTGAAGACCGAGCCGAGGCGAGAAGAATACAACGCAAGGCGGCTCGATACGCCCTCCGCGATGGAGAATTGTACAAACGCTCTTACCTCGGCCCCTGGCTGAGGTGTGTCACTCCCGAGGCCGGACGTCATATCCTCCACGAGATCCACGAAGGCCTGTGCGGAGCTCATGTCGGCCACAGGATGTTAGCCAAGAAGACTATGCTCCTTGGATACTTCTGGCCATCACTTCGGCAAGACGCCCAGGACCTCGTTCTCGGCTGTCCTTCCTGCCAAGTCCACGCACCCGAGCATCACCAGCCCTCAAATTTCATGGTCCCCATCACTTCACCTTGGCCATTCGAGCAATGGGGGACAGATATCATAGGTCCTTTCCCTAAAGCGGTCGGGGCTATACCTTCCTGGTGACTGCTGTGGACTACTTCACTAAGTGGGTCGAGGCCGAGCCACTTCGGACCATCTCGGGGCTGGCCATTCAAAATTCTTTTGGAAATGCATTGTCTGCCGCTTCGGCATACCTCAGATCATCATCTCGGACAATGGGAGACAATTTGCCGAGAACCCATTCAAGACCTGGTGCGAGAACCTCGGCATCAAGCAACACTTCACTTCGGTTGGCCACCCCCAGGCCAATGGTCAAGCAGAAAACTTCAACCGGACTCTCCTGCATGGCCTCAAGACCCGACTACACCAAGCTGGGTCATCTTGGGTGGAGGAACTCCCCAGTGTCTTGTGGTCATATCGGACCACGCCGAGGTCAGCGACGCAAGAGACCCCATTCTCCCTGACCTATGGCGCCGAGGCTGTCATCCCGGCTGAGATCCTTACTCCGCCCTCGGCTGGCAGCCTATGCCGCCGAGGTGAACGACGAAGAGAGGCAGCTGGACCTCGACCTCGTCGAAGAACGAAGGGATCTCGCCTCAGCCCGGATAGCTTCATACAAGAACACACTGGCACGCTATTACAATGCCCGTGTCAGACATCGTAGATTCCGTCCTGGAGACTTGGTTCTCAGGAAAAATTCAGTCAGCCGAGCTGAGCCGCAAGGGAAATTATGCCCGAAATGGGAAGGCCCTTACCGAGTTGTGGAATCTGACCCTAAAGGGTATTGTAAACTGAGCTACCGAGATGGCTCATTAGTGCCGAGGTTTGGCACGCCGAGAACCTTAGGTTGTATTATGCTTGAAGTTGTGACTTCATTCAGTTTTTCATCAAAGTTGACTTCATCCAATTATCTTGTCAAGTTATGGCTTCAGCTATTTAGTTATTTTTCAACAATATGATGCCCAGCATCCTTTATTAAAAAATAAGGGGGACAAACAAGGGATGAAGTCAAAGCAAGAAACAAGAAATTAAAGAGCTGAGATGAAAAGAAACAGACTTTCATTCAACAGAAGTATTACAAAAAATACAAGGCCGAGGTCGGAGTGCTACTAAACACTTCACCTCGGCCACCCCCTCGAAGCATATGAGCCTAGACCCCGTCTCGGCTCCTTCCCGGTCTTGGCTCCCTCCTGGGCAGCCTCCTCTTCGGCCTCTTTTCCGCCGGGGTGTTCATCTCCAGGCTCTTTTCCGATGTCCCCTCCGACTTCGTCCCCCCGGCTTCGTCTCCCTCAGCTTCCTCTACTTCCACGTCCTCGAACACGTCGTCGAGTTCGGACAGCCACTTGTTGAACTCGACCTGGACTTCGGCCAAGTTCCTTCCTGCCTGAATGCCTTCGGCCATCCGGTCACATAACTCCTTGGAGTCTTCATTGTAGCTGGCATGATTTTTCAAAGACTCCAAGGCTTCGGAGGAGAGGTGAGCTGCGGCCTCGTCAATGGCTGATGTGAAGCCAAACATGAAGTTAGGCGTAAGCAGTTGGCCGAGATCCTTGATGAAGGCATCGGACCTCCGAAACGCGTCCACAGCCGAGGCTCCAGCACCCTCGAGAGCTTGTGCGTGGGACTTCTTCACTTCGTCCCCCTCTTCTGCTCCTCCTCGAGGGCTGATCTAAGACTATTCATCGTAGCCTCGGCCTCCTCACCCTTAGCTTCAGCCTCTTGAAGTTGCCTCTGAAGCTCCGACTTCTCGGATTCGGACACCGCCAGTTGTTTCTCCAACTTGGAGATCTGAGTCTGCAGCTTGCCGGTGTCCTGCTCCTCGACTAGAGCACAGTATCTGTGAGCCATCTCGGCCGCAAAAGCTGAGTTGGAAGCCGTGGTCACCATCAGACTTTGAACCAGCTCGGCCGGGCTCAGTTTCTTCATGAACTCCAAATCCCTTGGCAGAGTGGAGTGCATTACTAGCTCTTGAGCGACCCGAGGGATTTGGCACCTGTCGTTGACCGAAATCTTCCAGTTCGGACACCAATGATTGCCGGAGTGCGTCTTCTCCTCCCGGGAAACACTGGGGGGCTATGGAAACGATTCCATAGCGAGGTCCCCGAGACTGGATTGACCGGGGCCTTCAACTGCTTGCCTCGGCCCTGAGGAGGTGGAGTGCCGTGACGACTCCGAAGGCTCCCCCGGCACGGACGAGGTGGACCCAGTAGCCGCGGTGGCCGAGCTGCTCTGGCCGACCTTGGTGGAGTGCTTGTAGCCGCCGGGGGCTTGCAGCCTGTCCTTGTGTTTTCTTCTTCTTCGGCGGAAGTGCGATGTCTCGTCAGTACTCTTCCTCTTCGCCTCTTGGCCACTTCGGACGAGCTGGAGACGACGATATCGGACAACTTGACCACTGCACAAGAAATAAATATTATCATATGCCTTAGCCGAAGTGAAAAGAAAAGCCATGAAAGAAAATTACAAGGTTTCTCAAGTTTAATGGAAAAGAAGGGAGTTTGGTAGTGTTGATCACGGCTCGACTTATCCCCCCATCCACGAGCACGGCTTCGGGTAGTCATGGCTGAACAGCCGAAGTCCCGACTTCATCAGCTTCTGGAAGGACTCCTCTTCGGCATCCCCGCAGAGGGGTCGGCCTTCGCCTTAATTGGCCTCCACCAAAAACCCCTCGGAAGTCCACTCCGGACACGAAGAAGTAGTCGCGCTTCCAGTTCTTGATCGAGCTGGGAGCACCGATCACCAACTTCGGGATGGCATTGTTCCGGTTGCCAACATAAAACCATCCCTTATCCGTCGCGTGCGCCTTGAGGGTGTAGCATCGGCGGAAGAGATCGACGGAGGGAGTCACCTCCTGATGTCGGCACAGCATCTCAAACCCCACAATGATGCGGATCGCATTCGGGGTGAGTTGGGTGATTCTCACCTGGAAGTGACGAAGTAAGTCCCGGAGGAACCTCGACGTCGGCATCCTCAGCCCGGCCTCCAGCTGTTGAACGTAGACGGCCACCATGCCAAAGGGGGGCTCCGCGGCTGTGTCATCCACCTCGGGCGGCAAAATTTCGTACCGGCCGGAAGGGGTACTTGTCTACCACCTTCATGGCCCTATCTCTTCCTACGCGACTCCTAAACTTCGGCATCTGGCCGAAGTCGATGTTGGCTACGTCCACTGGAGCAACTGGCTCCGGTACACCCTCGTCATGGGGTATCTCGGTCCCGAGCTCGGTATTATACTCCACCTCGGAGCCGCCTTCGCTGATCTCGGACGATTCCAATTCCGAGGCTGTCTCTCTGGCTCTCATCTCGGTCGATCCTTCCTCAGAACTCTGTGCCGACCCCTCCGAGCTGGACGTCGTCGCTTCTTCCTCAGGATCCGCCCTCACCTCGGTCTGGTAGCTCGGGGTCACGGTTTCTTTATGGGTTTTAGCCGTCTTGGCCATGGGTGAAAGACGAGATAAGAAAGAAAAGGGATACTTACTATTGTCTACGGAACTGGACGAGTGGATGACTTCGGCTATGATCTCGGCTGGAAAGACTGACCTCGGCAACCCTCGCAAATTTTGCAAGTCACAAGCGAAGAAAGAAAGTGATGGGCCATGCGGTGAAAGGGACCACCTATTTATAGGGATGGCCAGAATCCGAAGAGGCGGCAAGAATACGAAAAGACGACCACGACGAATTCAAAACGCCACGCCTCCCTCTCTCCTCATTAATGCCCCGTCCTTTCGACTGACACCTTCTGCACGAAACGTCCCACTACTTCACGACGCGACGGTTATCAGTGACCACGTCCTATCAACTGATTCGCCCACGTGTCACGTCCCCGCATCTCCCGGAGTAGTTTTGGGACCCCGACTCTTCACGACTTCGGCACAAAAAGCCTCGGTACCTCCCTGGCCCGAAGCCCCCGAGGCTTGGGGGGCTTATTGAGGGTGCTCACCTCGGCCACCCCGCGTGTCCGAGGTGAAGTCACCTCGTCCCTCTTCAGAGTCCATCCAGGTCTGGGTATCGTCCAGACCTCGGCCGGATCCGTAGTCAACCGTGTAGGTGACCTTGGCACCTCCACCTCGGCTGCACGCTGATGAGGTCAACCCATCTGACATCATCCAGGACCAGTACTTTATCTGAAAAGCACTGGGAGCCCTTAATGGCACCTGCACCATGTCCTCCGTCATCACTCCCAGGCGGCTACAGTGTCAGAGTCAGACTCCCTGACAGGAGACAGAGCCGTAATGTCAGAGTGGGTCCCACTAACATAAGTCCAGAGCCTCGCCTCTACTCTCCTATAAATACCTCACTCACACTCCCATCAAGTAAGCAGACACTGTTCATTAGCTCATTCTCATTATTCTCGTTCTCATACTAACTTGATCGTCGGAGTGATACCAGGGGAGAAGCCCCGCCACTCACTTCGGACAAGGAGGTTCACTTCGGACACAGGAGTTCACCTCACTTCATCTCAGAGAGGACTGATCCAGGTCGGTCTAGTTACCAACCAAAAATCACCTCCTCAATTAGAGAAGCTCCGCCACTCACTTCGGACAAGGAGGTTCACTTCGGACACAGGAGTTCACCTCACTTCATCTCAGAGAGGACTGATCCAGGTCGGTCTAGTTACCAACCAAAAATCACCTCCTCACTGATGAACTAATTTGTATTTAATTGATTTTAATAGTATTTGTAAGAGAAAAAAAGGGATCAAAATAGTGTGTGAAAAATCACAAAGCAAACCAAAATTTAAGATTATAAGTTCTGAATTCAAATTTTTCTCACGGAAGGAGAGTAACTAAAGCCTTTGTTTGCTTCACATGCTATGCCTATTGCATCACCCCGTTGTTTATTTCCATTGTAACCAGGATAAAAATAAAATAAAATTCAAATTTTCCTTTTTCTCTTACTTAAATTTTAAATCCATCTCTCCTCTCTTTGCTTTAAAACGAATTAAGAAGAAGAAAAAAAAAAAACAATAGCATCTTGGGAGGTTATCTCTATTCTCCACCTCCTTATTTGTCTCGACCAATTTGGAGTAACAAACAAGTAGAGTGCTTTAAATCTGGTCTAAAACGCAAAGGTCCTTGGCTTAAACGTTCCATCTAAAGTTTAAAAGGATTGTTGATCATTACAATTTCTTATTAGGTGGCACAGGGGCAGACATACATGCATTCACGCTTGCGGAGGACATCAAGGCTTTTATCTAACTTGTTTCAATTGTGATCTTTTTGCGTAAAAAAAAATCGATAATATGAATTATTGTAATAGTTTTAACCTATATGCTTTAGACATTTTTAGAGATGAGTCAAGAACTTTCGTTACTCCTTAAGTGTCGAGATATACGGGTTTGTTTGGACAGCTGATTATTTTCTCAAATATATTTGCTTACATCATCATTATAATTTTCAATACACTTTTTTATCTTTTCAATTACATTTTTATCTTACATACATCATATCGCAACAAGTGCTACAGTAAAATATCTCAAATAACTTACAATCCAAACAAACTGGTTATACAGTTCTTTGGACCGTTACTCAAATACACTAAGCTTTATATTAATACAATCACGTATAGTTCCCGGAAAAAAAACACATACTAGCGCTCTACCCTTGATGAACTTTTTATTAATTTTCACAAAATATATACTAGTACGAAGAAAGGGAAGGTGTCATGATCCCCTCCCCGCCCATTTTCATTGCTGGATGTGAAACTTGGCCTCTTCTTCACAAGTAGGAGCACATATTTTTGCGGTGACAACACAAAACAAATATTAGTTGATGTGGCGCGAAGAAGACTGTCCCGTCCTTTAGTTTAACTTGTTTATATTGACTTAAAGTGTCCTCCTTCAATTAACAAGAACGTAATGGAGACTTTCCTTTTCATTTAAGATTCATCAATAATGATGAATGATGGAACTCCAAAAAAAAAAAAAAAAAAAAAAAAAGGGGACTTTGCATTAATCTTTGAGCCAGAAAACGAAATCTCATTTTTTATTACGTTTTGAACTTAAAAGTCTCATTCGGACCTGAAGTTTGAAATTAAAGAACCAACAAGGCTCTGTTTGGATTAGTTGTTTTTGGGATTATTTTTCAAAAACAGCACTGTAGCATTTCATTTTTGAAATATAAATCCGTTTGGATTAGTTGTTTTTTGGGTTGTTTTTCAAAAACTATATGAAAAACTTTTACTGTAGATGTTTTTTAGATTATTTTTAGAGGTATTTTTAAAACATATTTTTGAGTATTTTTATAATTTATAATTTTTAAATTTATAAACATTTATGCATTTATAATACATTTATAAATATTTATAAATAAATATATTTATATATTTATATAATACATAATATAAATATATTTATAAATGTATAAGTGTATATTATTATAAATGTATAAATTATAAATGAATATTATACAAATGTATAAATTAATATATTATAAATATATATTAATATTATGTATAAATGTATAAATGTAAAATTAATATTATTTATATTAATATAAATGTATAAATGTATTATATTATATATAATACATAATATAAATGTATATTATAAATGTACATTAATATATATATTATGTATACATGTACATTTATATAAATGTATAATATATATAATATTATATAAATATATTATAAATATATAAAAATATTTTTTACATAAAATAAAATATTTATAATATATATAAATATAATATATAATATACATTAATATTAATTATAAATATTATAATATTATAATATGGTGTTTATATAATATTTCAATTTGTAATATTTATTGTATATTTCATTATATAAATATTTATATAATATATAATATATAATTTTCAATTTGTATAATATACATAATATTGTACATATATAATATAATATACATAATATAATATATTATACATAATATACATTTATATATTTATACATTATTACATATTATGTATATTATATGTTATACATAACATTATTATACATTATTATACACAATAATGTACATAATAATATTATACATTAATAATGTATATATTATAATATAATGTACATAATATATTATGTATAAATATTTATACATTTATGTATACAATATTACATATTAACTATATTATATTATGTTATGTATAATATACAATATTATGTATAATATTAATGTATATAAATGTTTATATAATATATAAATATACAATTTTCAATTTGTATATTTCAATTTATATTAATATAATATATATATTATATACATAATTGAAATATAGATATGGAGTTGTTTTGATATAATATTTGGATATGGTATTTTTACAGTTGTTTTAGAAATACATATTTACTGTAACATTTGAAAGGTAAAAAATAATTTTTCAAAAACAAAAGCAAAAATAAGGAATCCAAACGGACAACTTTCTTAGTCCTTGCGGGTAGTCCTTAAGTTAATAGTTATCAACAGATTCCATAATCAATTTTTGTATATTATCTTATTATATATTTTTGAAACAAGATTTCATACAATCTTAGAAAATTAGTACTGGCGTTTACTAGCCGAGTGCCATTACGCTGCTGCTTTTCCCTTTTTCATTTTTAACTGCTTCGGTTTGAGTTCACTGACTCCCGTCGCTGCCTTTCCCACTCTTTTCTGTCCTTTCTTCTCGTCTTCCTTGAGAATTCAAAATAAAAAATAAAAAAAAATGGGCTGCATTTCCTCCACCCTCCTGACCCATGACGACCCTGACTTCTCCCAAATCGGCGGCTCCTCCTCCGCCTTTGCCCACCACATTGTCAAGCTCACCTCCACCACCTACGGTCTCTTGACTCTTGACCCCCCGCCACCACCTTCCTCCGACCTCGCCTCTCCCGCCGGCACCATTGTTCCCCCGACCCCGCCTCCTGGCTTCACTCTCAGTCTCACCTCACTGTCCTCCGATCTCAGGCCACCCCTCAAACCCGACGACGACATCATCAACTCTTGGGAGCTCATGGCTGGCCTCGACTCCACTCCACCTCCTCACCACCCTAGCTTCCGATTCTCCCCTACTCCTTCCATTTCCTCCTCCACCACCAAAGAAAACTCGAACCCGAATCTACCCTCCTGCTTCACTCAATCCAACCAAATCCCCACCTTACACGACCCCCGCGACGCCGTTTTAGCTCCCGCAAGGAGTTGCTCCTCCTCATCCCTTTCCCTGGTTGAATTTGAAAAGCTCTGCCCTCCTAATGGGGAATCTAAAGTGGTGATATACACCACCACGCTGAGGGGCATCCGCAAGACCTTCGAAGCTTGCAATGCCGTGAGGTCTGCTATTCAGGGGTATGGAGTTCTGATTTGCGAAAGAGACGTTTCCATGGATAGAGGGTTTAGGGATGAGCTCAGAGAACTAATGCTGATGATCAAGCCTAGACCCTGTCACAATGGTAACTCTAGTTTGATGATACCTCCCAGGGTATTCATAAAAGGGAGATACATTGGCGGGGTGGAGGAGGTCATGAGAATAGCTGAAGATGGGGCTTTGGGGGGTTTGCTTGCGGGGTTGCCCAAATTGAGACCCGGGCATAATAATGTTTGCGATGGCTGTGGGGGTGCCAGGTTCTTGCCTTGCTTTCAGTGTAACGGCAGTTGTAAGATGGTGTCTCCAATGGAGGATGAGATGGATCAAACCCACAATTCCCTGGAGCGGACTGTGGTGGTCAGGTGCTCTCATTGTAATGAGAATGGCTTGGTTCTCTGTCCCATTTGTACCTAGCTAGTCTCATTGTACCTCAAAATTACTGCTACTACAATAACTATGCTCCAGTTAACATGACCATGGATTTCTTTTATCCGGTTGCTTCTCCATGTCGTTCATTCTTTGATATGACATCTGCTAGTGCCCTGTTTGAATTTTCTGCGTTCCTTTGAGTACGTACCTTTTTCTCTTTTCTCCCCTCCAACCTTACCCCCCCCCCCCCGGGGTGTGCGCCTTTCTTTTTTGTCTCTCTTTTATATCTTGTGCTTGCATTTGGAAATTACTATCTCGATTGTTTGGAATTATAAGTTTGCCTGATCACTTACATTCTTTGCTGGAGAAAGAGACTAGGAACTTAATAACATTGAGGTCTGTTCTTGGTGCACCGCTTGCTATGTAATCCACATTCAGGATTGAGGTTGTCCTCAATTAAGCCGTAGGCGAGGCTTTGGGTAAATGTTGATTCTTGGTATATCCATGGGTTCTATTCTGTCAAAGAGGAAAATTAAGATGCATAGCCTGCGAGATTGGTTATATGCTTATCATAATTGCTGCCAGATGGATTTTTGATAATGAGATAGGCTAAAGTATGGTGAAATATGTCAAATTCCCCAGTTAATCCAAATAACTTAATTAGTACCTCATCATTGAATCTCCCTGATGTAGATACTTGCTTTTTAAATGAGTAACACAGGGCTATCTGCTGTTGTGAACCTCAGTCTTGAAAATATTGCTTTGGTGCAACATCTGTTGATAAATGAATGAAATAATTAAAGATAAATTGGTCCCCAACCAGCTTGCAGAATATCACTGGGCAAAAAGCGTCTGAATATGATGGGTTATTTGCCCATTATGATGCTACTTTTCTGAAACATAAGCACAGTGCTGAATCAGTTTTGACAATTTACAAGTCATGCTGAAGTTTAGTAGGATTAAACTGGATAATTCTAGTAGATTGTGGCTGGTATGATGGACAAAATGCCTTTACTCTTTTTGGTTTTCCTGGTTGTTCTTATAGATCCACCTGAGTTTCTGACAGAGTCTATATAACATCTGAGGGGGATAACAGGTACAACAAAACCACAGGAGCCGAAATCCATTTGGTATACAGCTCCCAACTTCGTGCTCATCACTTAAAAAGTTTGAAATTTTTTGCAACCTAGGATCATCCATGAGGTGAGCTAAAGAATATCTCCGTACCATCATTTTATGAGTTTTATGTTCATCTTTGAAGTTCTGAAGTAGCCCAACAAGCTAGCCAATAATGTAGATCAAGATGTAAACTGTAAGTGGCATGTTAATACATTAGGAAATTTCAGAGTCTCAGTCAACAACGTATTGTTGCTGATTTGGCTATGATTATTTGATCTAGTGTTTTATTTCCTATTGTCAGCCTTCTTGTTCTGAGCCATTAACAAATTCATTGTTGTTACAGGACTAGAGGACATTTCATAATCTATTGTCACAATGGCTGCTATTGTGTTGATATTGAATGTCTCGATTGCACTGGGCATAATCTAGGAAACACTCTAGTGTATAATCCTAAAGGGGAAGTAGCAAGCATGATAGGTTTACATTGTGGTGGATTTAAAGCTGAAAGATATAGCAATATAGCAGGTCCAATTACGGATTCGGTGCTTATAATTCTCGGAAACTAGTAATCCTTTATGATTAAAGTAGTTTTTGTACAGAAAAGAAGACATTACATTTGGGAAGGGCACGACAGAAACAAACATTTAGGAAGGAGGAGATTTTTTTTTTTTTTTTTCTAGTATTAAATTCTGTATTTGTTTTTAGCAATTTTATAGTCATTAACTTGTATCCTATTGTATTTTGAAGTTCATGGCATTATGCTCGACCAATGAGAGAGATATCTGTAAATGCTATCCACCTCTTGTCTTGAGCATATCTCGAGTACCAATTCATGATCATGAATTCTGCAGTTAGAAGTTTGGCTTGCTCTCCTTCTGCATTATCTTCTTTGTGCCACTTAGAGTGATTTCGGATGAAATGCGACTGCTCTTCAAATCTTGGTATCTATTTGTTTGGAGAAAGTATGCTAGCAAGTGATAAGATGTTATCCAAGGCGCAGCATTTCTCGTTCAAAATCTCAGGTGAAGATGACCTTTCGTTGGTTAATTCTTTTAAATAAATTCTTTTACTAGTCTATTTTCGAGTCATCCGACTGATTGTGCATATGACTCCATAAACTTTGATGGGCTGAGCAGGAAGCTTTCTTTCTATGCTTTGGCAGGAGAGAACCATTATAGATTTATAATCTTGCCAGTCTTCTGATAGAACCATAGATTTATAATCTTGTCATGTGATCCGAGTCAAGGGTCGTGGTCTTGCCTGTCCAAGGCTACTCAATAACCGCGTTCATCCGCTTGAATCGGACTTTGACAAGGCAAACTTTGCGCACAAATAGCACACAGCTGGAAATGATGCCGCTGCTGCCTCCAGCGGTAGTTTACAAGTCCAATGTTGGTGCTTGTGTTCAGAAACATATTCAATTACTGTATTTTGTTCCACAAACATGGCTTTTATTTAAATAATGAAGAAACAACACATTAATTGCCTTTTTCATTCCGATCTAGCTTTTTGGGGACCCTTGTCGGTAAATCCAGCTTCAAACAGGCATAGCTCGTCCCGGAGGTTCATCTACTATATGTATATACTCTATGTATGTAACCTTGTAGCAGCAAGAATCATATCAAGGGGTTCTTCACTGTTCGCCCACAATATATTCTCCAATCTTCTGATGTCAAGCTAATAAGTTAGTTAGTCTTTTGATAATAATGGCGGGTAGAATAGAATTAACGTTAAGACATGGAGAGTAGGGTTGTATTTATATAGGATGTTGTAGCTAGGCTTGTAGGATAAAACTAAGTGCTGTATATGCTTTCGCACACGTACATGGCCTAAACAACTGTACCGGTAGACGACGAGGCAATTTGCTTGGGGCGAGCGAAATGATTGATTCGATTAGAACAGAGAAGTGAAGAATTTGGTTTGGTTGAAGTGACGTCCGTTGGATTAGATAATGTTGAAAATGCCCGCACTCACCGTGAAATCAAATACTCCAATTATTATAACTACGTGCCCATAACTTCCAATTCCCATTCACTCGAAAAGAAGCAGTGGACAGCGTAGGAGTATGATGAATGATTCCCCTCAGCCTAATGCCTGCAATTTTCATTCTCATTTTCAACGGCAGAATAATTCTCTCAAGAAACAAGCACGATACTGTAATCCATCGCCCTGACCATGAGTAACAAACACACTCACGCTAACCACTCAACGCACCCTAAAAAAAAAAAAAAAAAAAACCACTCAGCCCTGAATTGTTGCTGTGAAAAAACAATACTAGAAAATGGATCACGTCTTTCCAATAACATGTATAGGCCACGAATTTCTATTCTCAAAGATATTTAAAAAAAAAAAAAAAAAAAAGCAAAAAGACTCTGCCAATTCTCTCTAGGTTTGAGTTTTCCACAAAGCTTGATGATAATAACCCCACCCCACCAAACTGTTTATATCAATTATAAACATATGCACGTGCCTCTGCCAACCTTTTGTTTTTTAACGACATTATCTTCCCCACCATCCGATTACCTTACTACTACTACTCTTCAACTTTTACGCATTATACAGATGTTCCGCGGGGGGGGGGGGGGGGGTGGTCGTCCGGGCAAAATATCGGCAGATTCAAAAGGGTTATTATCACTTTATCCCCGGCCTTAATGTTCGATATTGTTATCAATTTCCTCATTACGTTATCTTTTAGTCATTTTGCCCCAAGACTAGCGGTCAAACTTAATAGAGTTTGTTAATTAAAATAAAAAGACAAGTTTAGCCCTTAAAGTTATTATCACTTTACCCCATAAACTATAGTCTCATTATCAATTTACCCCATATAATTATTTTTTAGGCAATTTATCCCACCATGAAACTAACTTAGCAAGTTAAAAAAACTTTAGCAGAAAGTGCCCTCCTCTTTGTATAATAAAAACAATAAAAAATTTAGAGTAGCTCTTCTCCTTTTTAGTATCAAGAAAAAAAGTCAAAGTATTAATATCTTTCTTCTTGGCAATCTTATTGATATTAAAAAAATAGAAAGATCGGGAGAGGGAGGGAGAGAGGGAGAGAGAGCGCTCAATTCTTTTTTTAAAAAATACAAATAAGAAAGAATTAAATAATTTTATTATTTTAAATTATTTTACTTTACTATTTACCACCAAGTTTCAATTCTAATCCCAACAACCTTAAATTAATACGATAATATTAGACTTTTTTTATTTTTTTCTTTGCAAAATCTAATTTTCTGTTTCCTCCTTTCTTATCTCTTTTTTCTTTTCCTAGTATTAATAAGTGTGAAAAAAGAAATTCGAGAAAATTTTTATTTTTATATTTTTGGATCTGTTAAAGTGAAAAAAAAGAAGAATAATCATTCCAACTTTTTTATTTTTAATTAGATATATAAGGGCAAATATATTTAAATTTTTTTTACCATACTAGTTAGATTGACGATGAAATAAATTGCCTAGAAAATAATGTTAGGAATTAAAGCGATTATATCGCTATAATTTAAAGGAATAAAGTAATAATAACATCATAGTAATGTTATAGAATAAAGGGTTATTTTGTCTAAAATTTCTTAACATGTTGAGTTGAATTACTTATGGGAGTAAAGTGACTAAATGATAACGTTAACTGATAGTAGTAATACAGTTGAAGGGGGTAAAGTGATAATAACCCGATTCAAAACTCCACAAATTATTATTATTATTTTTTTACCTTAATTAGTTTAAGGTTTGATTACTAAAAGCATCAAATCAAGGGAGAAAAGTGTGCTTTAAGGTTTGGTTGCGTGCATCTCTCAGATCCGCATTCATTAATGAAACACTTGTTCAATTTTGTTCGGTATACATTTTGCTCATTATGTTCCTTTTATATAATGATATTGAGCAAAATTGCAAGTTGATATATATATATATATATTAAGGAAATTATGCAACACAGATGCTTTTTTTTTTTTTTTTTTGGGGAGTATCCTTCATACAAATGAACAACTAAGGAAACTTTTTCTGTATTTTTCGAATGAAAGATACACGATTAGTTTTTAAGTAGCTCAGTTGCTTCGATTAGTTTTGTTTCTGAGTATGGATTTCCAGCAGCCAATGGGGGTAACGCGCGGTACGAAGTAGCCACGAGCGACAATGTGTGCGTCAAGTCAAAAAAACTGACGCCATCGCTGAGCTAAGTTAATAATCTCCTCTCGAAGTAAAAGCTACAATTTCAATCTCTTATAATTACTTCCAACAAGAAAGGCCACCATTCAAATCCCCATTAGTCCTCGCTAGGTTTGATCATTCATCTGCATATGCATGCCTCCACGGACAATCAGTTGTTTCTCGTCCACCCATTTAATTAAAATGTTTGTAACTCTCACTATTTCATTTGTGATAGTAGCATCTTAAGACTCTTTGGTCTCATTGTAATACGCTCGCTGTAATTGTAACTCTCGCAATTAAGTTACTGGTACTATGAAAGAAGACGTATCCTAGGTAGGAGCACAGTAGTTCGTTCCCATCCAAGGAGACAATGATTAAAATAGCTATGGCTTGGTCGTCTCGGCCATATGTTTAATCTATTCTACGTACGATGCATATACTTTTATCATGTCGAATTGAGGAAGGAAGGTAGCTGACCTTTCCCATCCTATCTTAAAAGGAAGCAAACTTTTTTATCTCTCGCAAAACAAAAAGTATTTATGCCGTTTGCAGATGTATGCATGTCGTATTATGCCTTGAATCCATGACCCCATCCATGAAAGACACAGATCAGATCGGTATCCCCGACATGGGACCAAGCCAACTAAGTGATGGAAAAGTTATCCCAGATCCCTCTGTAGCGGTGGGCGATCGAAGATTTATTGGGTGATACGGGCGCGTTTTTCAGGTGCAAAATGTCACGACTGCTGCATGTGTCATGCAAGCTTTCCGGAAATGGAAGACATCGTTATTAGACAAAGATATTGTGGTTGACAATGCATGCCACCTATCCGAGATATTCCTTCCCTTCCTTTCCAATTTCCATCCTTTTTGTGTATCAATACAAAAAACTACCAATATATACCATCATTGATGTATACACCACACCTATAGCCCACTCCACTCCACTCCACTCCACTCCATCATATATGTATCATCAAACTACAACAGAGTACTACTTTTATGGTATCATCTATGTTGTACGTATCAAACCCTGTTTGACTCACTAGTCTGTGGATGCAACGTACGTACGTAGAAAGCCATGCACATGAATTATGGCAGATCGCACTTAGGAGGAGCGTAGTGTGCTGCTCATATATGGATGCATACTGCTGGCTACTAATCTAATTGACTAGTAGTAAAGTTACTAAATTAGTTATACAGACAGGTGGCACAAAGGGTCAGAAGACGATGATGAAGGAGGATCGAGCAAAGCTCCAAAAGTCGACCTCGTTGCCCATCCCGTAGAGTAGTACTTGAGAGGTTTCTTGATGATTTGGTCTACTACTACTACTTCTACTGCTGGTGCCAGATGATCGGAGGTTGGACGTTGAATATGCGCCCCGATGCTCCTGCTCCAGAGGAAAGCAGAAGACCTCATCATCCCCGGCTGCTTGCCCCCCGTTGAGCTGCGAAGCCACCAGTCGATCAAGTGCAACCCAGTCACTGAGCCCGCCACCCACCTTCGGATCTTGATCGTCGCAGTGGCAGGGGTGTTTATGCTGCTGCAGTTGGCATCCTGACCATTGATCATGGTGCAGCTAACTGAAGGCTCTGTTTCTCTTGATACTATGATATCATTCATGGACATAGACTGCTCACAAGCTCCAAAGCTGCAGTCCTCTTGTTGGCTGAAGGATGAGGAATTGTTATTATTATTATTATTGTCTGCTAGCCCGGGAAGATGCATGAACTTTGCACGAAGAAGTCCATCGCTGATGAGGGCGCTAGCACTACTACTAGAGTTCGTTGGGTCATTAGTGATCATGGGTAGCATGCTATCACTGTCATCATTGCTGTCGAACATATGACTAGTAGTAGCACTACTTATTGCTCCATTTTCCTGCTTACAGGTTCTGCCCATGTATACAAGGATGCGGTCGAGAATGCCATCGTTACCTGAAGCTGAACTATCGTACCCAAAACTTCTCGAATCCATGGAGGCGGCTGAATGTTGGCAACTTTCCACAGCCTTATGGTAATTTTTCTTCTTGAAAACACGGCAGACGACCCACCCTTCTTCTGCACTTGTTGGATCTCCTACTAAACTGGAGGCCTGTGCACAATTTTTTTTTTTTGAGGGGGGAGGGGTCCAAAAAGAAAATGAAATGAGTACTCCAATATTGTCCCGATCAATAGCAAATCTGGAAGTTTATGCAGCATGAAACTAACTAAAAGAGATCATTGTTAGCATGAAATCAATCTTATACGCCGCTTTCACGTCGAGCATTTCCATTTGACTTTTAAATAGAAGCATGATGACAGCACATGAAAAGGAAGGAGACGGCATGTACATG